ATTGACATAATTGATAGTAATCCATTCCCCAATTTTGTTGGGCAATTTATTGATATCTGGATCGGCTTCGACAGTGCCTCTTACTTCGAGCTCCAACGGGGACTTATTCGGGCCATGCAGCCTCGCTTGGCTAAGGAACCATCTCCCTTTTGGAATCACTATCTTGCTTGCATTTGTAGCCTGGCATGCCTCCTTCCACACAGTTGATAACACCTAGTATACGTATACGTACAAACATATATACACGTACCAATGATATAATGTATAAGAATAATGTACGTGGATTTAAACATAATACTAGGTAGGTAGTGTATTTATGTATGTATACCTGGCTGATATCTGCACCGGGTTTTGCACCGTACTTTGTGATATCGTATACCGTGACCGCTTGGGCGTGATACGCCAAAAATGGCAAAACAAAAAACACTGAGAAAATGAGTTTTGTTGCCATGTTGATGAATATTTATTAATTGATGTTACGTTTTGTTCAGAAGAACGTACGTAACTGATCGATGATCGATGTTGTTTAATTAGGACACTTGATTGGACTTGAATTTATACTACATGTGATATCATGTTTATACCACTAGTCCAAATATTACTATTATTAGTTTATTTCCATATATAGTTTTGTTTTGTGGCTCAACACACATGATTTTTTTACCAACGAATGAGAGAGTCTTCAGCTATTTTCACCAGGATTTGTAGAGCTTGATTAGAATTATAGTTTATTAATTAGAAAGATCAGAGAGCTAATTAATTAGTACAAAATTAGTTAGCAAGATTTTATAAACGTGCATTTCATGATCATTTTCATTTTAAGGGGTTTGATACATATCGGATGACATTTCTCATTACGAATCTGTAAAATCATAATTTTGATCGATCAAATCACACATCGAATAATTAACATGTGCTTGAGAATGTTGCGAATGAGAGATCTCACAGAGGGTTTAGATAGAGAACTTAACAAATACACAATGCATTCCAAATAATAAATTCTAATGGACAGTTTAGATAGAAACAACAATTCATTTCAAGATGTTTAGAGGAAAATTGAGATAGATAAGTTAGTTATAGAGTTAATTAACAAACAATCATATAATTCAAGAGATTTTAAAGAAGATCATTAAACAATATGCATTTTAAGAGGTTGTTTAAATGATAGTTAACTACTTAAAGATTTAATTAGGAAATAAATGTGCAGTTCAAGAGGTTGTCAAATAATAATATTACTTGAAGGATATTTTTATTGAAATCACACAATTAAGGCCGCCTTTCGTGAGAAATTGGGGGTCTTAGGCGAATTTTAAAATTTACTAAAAGCGGGGGCCCCGTTATACAATATATGTGTATTAATTCACTCTTACGAACACAACTGAACTAGAACTGTTTGATTAGGAATTGAGATTTTTGGAGACATATTACTATAATAATAATAAGGGTAAAGTTCATTTTACTTACCTGAACTATACCCAACGTATAAAAATCTCCCCTTGTACTTCAAAACGTACCAAAACGGCCCTTCCGTTTAAAATTCGTCTTCCCTCGCTGACGTGGCATGTTGACTCTTTTTAATTATTACATTTATTCCAGCTGTTATTTTTTTAGACAAATTTACCCCTCTGTTTAATTATTTCTTCACGTCAACAATTACTTTTACGAAAGGAAAAAAAAAAGAGATTTAAATATAAGAATTTTCAGAGCCGAGACATATAAATGACGTCATTCGCCGGCGAATGAACCAACATCCAACTGAATTGAAACTCCAATAAAACCAAAAATAAAATAAAATTTGATACTATCGAAATTAATTCCCGAGAAATTGACAATTAAGTTGTGGATTTGAAGAAATAAGGGTTTACAGATAACCCTTCTTGCATCGTTCACCTCTTGAAATCCCCCTGCAAAAAGAAAAGAAAGAAGAAAAACTAAATGACAATCGCCACGCCAGATCCGTTTTCCGGTCGTCAGCCGTTCGTAACGCCGCAACGAGGCTGGTCTTCCAACCAAAAGCTGTTCGCTCACCGCCTCTTCCAACTGAATCACTATGTGTGTGTCTTTATGAATCGAGAAGTATGCAATTGAATTCATCTGTGGTATAGCAAAAAAAATGGCATGGAAGATTGGTTGAGAAACTTTGAATTCTATGTAACGGTTGACTCTACTCTGTCTGTGTGTGAAGAAAGGGTGAATTGCCAGATGTTGAAATTAAATTTTGGCAATTTAAAAAGGCAATTGGCCCATGGAAAATATACATTTTTAATCGGAAGTAAGAAGAGTAAGAAATGGATGCAATATACATTTCCAGCCCACCAAACTTCACATCAATTTCTACAGGTTCGGCAATGGGGAAAAGAAAAAAGAAAAAAATTAAAAAAATTATGGAGAAGGAAGACGGAGAAGAAGGGAGGAAGAAGAAGATTTTGGGGGCAAAAGTGTAACATCACATTAAAACTAACGGTTTTCCTATATAAAGTAACGGTGTTAATTTTTTTGACATATTTAACGTTGACCAATAAAAGGGAGGGGTTGTTTTGGTTCATTTTGAAGTTAAGGGGGGTATTTTACACGTTGGGTATAGTTCAGGTAGGCAAAATGAAGTTTACCCTAATAATAATGAAGCAAGCATGGTGAATCAAAAGGTTACGAGGTCCGAGGGCAGAGGCTCCCAAGTTTCTTTTTAAAGCACTTCTAGAAATAGTATTAAACAAGTAAATATATGTAATATTTGTTTATATATAATAAAGTAAAATATAGTATTTTCAAATTATCGAAATTCCTTGAAGTTAGAGGAGATAGACAAAGATTTGATAATATAACTCAATATCTAACTAACTAATAGTAATTGATGTAAGATATTTCTTTGCACTATACAAATTCGACAAATTTATATATTATGTAAAATAACATAGTTGTGACGAATGCAAGAATAAGGCTAATTACATTTTTCGTCCCTCTACTATACCACTTATTCGTTTTTCGTCTCTAAATAAGTTGGGGTGACAGTAGTCGTCCCTAAACATACAATTTTTTTGTTATTTTCGTTCTTCCCCGTCATATTTTTTGGTTAAATTAGATGGAACAAATCACATGTTTGGCACGTGTTAATCCTTTTCTCACATCTTTCTTGGTTTCAGTTCTTTTATTTGTCCGTTCATCACGTTTGCCCAAGTTTCCCTTGTCTATCCGTAAATACAGTATTAAAATGAATAGAGACATGAAGAACTAAAATGGGACTACATATTAAGATGAGGGACTAAACTAGAACTAAATATTAAAATGAGTGACTAAAATAGAACTAAATATTAAATGAGGGACTAAAAATAGTACTAAATACTAAATAATTCATTATTTGATCCATGCAATTAACTATCGGGAAAATACAGTTTGCACTGATTTCACATTTGATCATCATGTTCACAAAAATCACATTTGGTCCCTCGTGTTACAATAATTTAACACTTTTGGTCATTTCCTTTAATTTTCCGTTAATTCGTCATTTAAGGCTTCCGTTAGTACTAAAGGAAAATTGACAGAAAGGATTAAAAGTGTTGAGTTTTTGAAATATTAAGAAGCGAATGTGTTTTTATTAACATTAAGGACCAAATGTGGAATAAATGCAAACTTGAGGGATGAAAACTTTATTTTTCCCATGAACTATCAGTCGACATATGTTTCTTGTGCACACACCAGGACTTCACCTGTAAACTAAATCATGCATTTCACAACGCAATTCATACTCATATCAATAATTTTTATTACGATTATCTCGCTGATTATTGATCATATGTCAAAAGACAAAAATACAATAAGGATATATATGTATAACATCTTCTTCAAAATCACCTAACCCAAAAACCAAACCCTAAAAAATCGAAAAAAAAAGGAGAATTGAAATTTGTTCATGTACAAGATACACACAGAAGGTCGAATGCATGATTTAAGAAGCCTGAACAGGGGTTGGGCAAATTGGCGGGTTCTGCTTTCCGGAAACAGTGGGCTTCACGTTCTCGCAGACAGTGGTGAAATTGGCGGGAATTGAGTTAACATATTTAAGATCAATATCACTAATCTGAACATTCTGGCATGGCTTGCTTGAACTGCAAGAAAATAACAACGCCTCCTTCGTGTTCGCTGTCCCCCTCACATTCTTCACCGTCAATCCGCTGATTTGGATCAACGATGGTTTCTGCAATATATATTTATTCCATGCATGCAAATTACATTATCCATATATATACAAGATTATTAATCATATAACTAGAAATTAGAGATATATAATGGATATATATACACACACACACACACACTTACGTCTTTGGTGCAGAGATTCCATGGGCAGTATTGTTGATCAATGACGACAGGATAGCTGACATTGTTCATTGTCAAGTCTTCGAAATGCAGATTCGATATTTTTAGGGTTGCCGGTGCATTGGGCCATGTCTTTACCCTCACGCCGTTGCTTGTTCCGGTGAATGTGCACTTCTTTACTGTAATTCCTGTGACGTCCTTCTCTGCCGGATTCTTACCCATGCTTCCGACGCTGATGCCGTGTCCGGGCCCACATTTGACATTCTCGATGTGGAGATCAGTGGTCTCATCTCCAATAGAAATGCAATCGTCTCCCGTTCCTATATTGGAATCGAGTACTTTGACATTCGATACTCTGGCGATGTGGATCCCGTCAGTGTTGATGCTCTCGCCCGGTGCACTGATTGTGAAGCGTTGGAAAGTCACGTTTTGGCTCGATATGCAATTGCAGTGGAAATTTTTGCTGTCTTTTGTGGTCACGTCTTTGATTATGGCGTTCTTGATGAAATTCAAGCTAAGGTTCTGATAAATAACAATTACATGCATGCATGCAATAATTTGTATTAGTAATATACTTAAAAAAATGAAATATCGAATGGATTGAGTTATATTGACGATGTCATGTATATAAAGATCGGATCAATAGACATACGATGGGGAGTTTGGGGCAATTTGGGTTCTTGTGGCAATCGTTTGCCTTCCATGCTTGTTCACCCTTTCCGTCAAATACACCGCCACCGGAGATGGTGAAGCCATCGAGATAATTGATAGTAATCCATTGTCCATCTTTTTGGGGTAATTTAGTGTAATCTGGATTGGCTTCAACGGTACCTTGTACTTCAAGCTCCAATGGAGCCTTATTCGGGCCGACCAATCTAATTTGGCTAAGGTACCATGTCCCTTTTGGAATCAATACTTTGCTCGCATTTGTCGCTTCACATGCTTCCTTCCATACCTTAGCTAGAACCTATTGTACGATAACAAATGTCATATACATGCATATATATGTACGTACATATGATTCATATGATCGATATATAATATTAAGACTCTCGTACATATAATACATTCTATATACATCTAAAAATAATATATATATTGTTGTTATTTGTGTGTACGTACCGGGCTGATGTCTTCACCGCCGGGTTTTGCACCGTATTTTGAGATATCGAATATTGTGACAGATTCGGCGTGATACGCCAAGAATGGTAAAAATACCAATAAAACTGCGGAAAAAAAGAATTTTATTTCCATAATGAAGAATAGTTGATGATGTTTTTGTGTTTTATTTGTTCAGTAGAACTTATGATGTTCTTAGGTGTCTTGATTAGCAATGAATATATAATGGTTTCTTGAAAGCAATGAGATGCGTTTGTACCACTAATCCATTAATATTGATTGTTTATAGTTTTGTGGTTGAACATGCTTTTTGTAACCCAATGGTGTATTCATCTATATTTCCCCTTTTTTTGTGGCTTAAGACAAATTCAAATATGGAGATAGAATAACACATGTCAATATATACAAACAACAAAAAACTAATAGACATAAGTGCCATATGATATACATATATATAGTAAGAATGAATAAACAAAGAAATAATACTAATAATACACCTCCAAAAAAAAGAAATCAAATGTATGCCCTAGTGATTATATGACCAACAACCTTTCTCTTGATGAAAACAAACCATGTAAAAGCTTGTAACACAAGAAAAGTTACTCCCAAGAATATGAGCACTCCAATATATGTTGTCTCCCATTTCTTTTCAGTGTCCAATATTTCGAATCCTTCGAATATATTCACAATGCTTAGTATTAGTACACAATATCCAGTCACATGATGGTACATGTTCCAGTACAATCGGTATTTGTGGTCCGGCTTTGGCCTCAAAAGTAGTGCAAGTACCTTTCATAAATAAAAATCTTTGTTAGATCAATCAATTTGATCAAATTGTTTCTTTTATAGTATTATTAGTTGTTTGAGATGAGATATATATATATATATATATATATATATATATATATATATATATATATATATAGAGTGATCCCGATGTTCCTATGAGTAGTTTGCTGGACCCCACGAGAATCAGTTCCGAGTTTAATGCCGGTTGCCCAACCAGACACGCCTATGATATATGCAGACGATTGGCAAGCCACGTGTATGTAAAACCATGTTGGATTTGCTGATTTGAACAACTTCAAATATCTCGCTGCCATTGCGCCCACTGGCATTAGTATTCCCCAACTCACCACATTTAGTACCCCATGAACCTGCATTATTATTAATCATGAATATTCGTACCGGCACAAATGTATTAATTAGATCATATATAATTCATATGCGTTGTTCGATCTTGTTTAATTTTATATTTTATCATGACCAATATTGCATCATGTATTAAATCCGAAAGCAGGTGATGTATAGTTTAGTAAGAGTTTATTTCATTCAACACTCTGCATTTAACACCCCTATGTTTAAAAAAATCCTTGTGGTATATATTAGTACTAGGAAAAAAAACTCTTGTAATGCAATTTTTAGCAAACCACTCCTAAAATCTAGTGGTGGAAATTGGAACAGAATTTCCGAATTTCGTTGATTATGATCCAAAACAATTCGATTTGATTCCAGGTTTCTTCAAAAAAAACTAACCGATTGGAATTGGTTTTTTCCTAAAAGTGTTGATTCCGATCCGACCTGCCCGGTTTTCACATTTACGGACATTTACTGAAGCCTCACCATTTAGGGAGTTGTTTGCTAAAACAAATACATTACACATTGTTTTTCATAATATTAAAAATATGCGGGTTACTTTTATAATAATTGAATATAAAACGGGGGTACTAATGGAATAAAAGAAATATCTCACGTTTCTAATACATTACATATTGTTTTTTGATAATATGGGTACTAATGGAATAAAAGAAATATCTAACGTTTCTAAATTCTAATACATTACTCTTTGTTTTTTGATAATATTAGAAATAGCGGGGGAGTTTTTTAATAATTGAATATAAAACAGGGGTACTAAATGAAATAAAAGAAATATCTCACGTTTCTGATAAATTATACGTTGTTTTTTGATTAATATTAAAAATACACGGGGGATTTTTTTAATAATTGAATATAAAACAGGGGTACTAAATAAAATATAAGAAATATCCCACGTTTTTAATACATTACACGTTGTTTTTTGATAATATCAAAAATAGGCGGGGCAGTTTGTTAATAATTGAACATAAAATAGGGGTACTAAATGAAATAAAAGAAATTGAGTAAAGAAAGAAATATCTCACGTTTCTATTACGCTGCCTTGACCCTCCCGTACCGGCTGCACCAGTGTTCGAGGTGGTTCCGGTGGAGAAATCAATTGTGGCGGAAGATCTCATATTATCCCCAGTTGTACGGTGGCGCTGAGGGGTGTTACCAGATACGACGCCGTTCTGCCAAACATGAGTAAAACTGGTCCTCCCCGCCGGAAGTTGAATGGTGGCGTAAATAATCATCTGGTTGTCGGTGGTAAATTCAGCAGCAATCGACGGAACGGGGAAACTAAGTGGGCCCGGCTGCAAAGTGGTGTCGTAATCTGAAATAGGAGAAGTGTAGGGATGGATTGAGCCAGTGGTTGAGTTAACGAAAGCAACGAGAGATTGTGAGCCAATCATGCTGAGGCCCGATCGGGCCGGATTGAGGGCCCACACTATCCAGCCGGAGGGGGTGACGCCGGTGTGTCTGTAAGCTATATCGATGGTGTGGTTTGATTGATGGTAGTTCCAATGGAGGAAAGAGTTTAGGACAGGGAGTTGTTGGCATGTTGTGTAGGAGTATTTGATGTCGGAGAAAGTGTAGCCGGAGCAGTTATTTTGAGCTTGAGATGGTGAACCAAAGAGACAGCATGTGATCAGCAAGAAATGGAGCACGCTGCAGGTTTTCGAAAACTTGTCCATTTTTTTTCTTTTCTTGTAATGATTCGAAATACAAAGTTGCGGAGTTATATATCATATATATGTATAGATTCGAAAGTTACAAGAAAACGGCTTCGATCGGTTGTTGCATTTGTATTTCTTGAAAAAGATTACAATTAACAAAGGGTTGACTGCTTCTAGAGAGTGTGTGTGTGTGTGTGTTGAAAGGATCTTGGTACGAGTACGTTACAGACAAAGGAAAGAGAACGGAAACCGCATGGAAATTCCAATGCTTTTTTTCTAGCATTAATTAATCAATTATGTATATTAGATATTAAGTTGTAGGATCTGAGGAGGAATTTCTGTAATTAAAAATTAGTTCGAATTTGAAATTCGATTTGAACAAATGCCGGCCAATGGCATGGCATGACCAAGTTTGGAAAGATTCAAAGGCAAAGTTAGTTCCGCTTTGTTTGACTGATCGACGACGCCCCAACAACTCTAGATACAGCTCTAGACTTATCTTTCTTTTCAACCAAACCGGGAGTTAGTTAGAAGCTACATCTGGTTGATGAATTTCAATCGTAGATAAATATCCACTAAGCACACATACACATGGGTGTTTGTGTGATTCACTCAGTGTAAATAACCATAACCAGATGTAGCATCTGATTTCCCATTTTCAACTGAACCAACTAATAAGGAAGATATTCATTTTTCAACAACAACAAACCTGATATTTATCACATATAAGCAACTGCTCATCTAATTTCATCCTAACCCCCACATTTTCCTGCATATAAAAAAAATCAAATACATTAATATTAAAGAATCACAGTAATATAGGTTCGAAAAAAAAAAAAAAAAAAGAATCACAGTAATATAAAAATGGCTTCCATCTATATAGTCGTGAATCTCGTATTCAACATTCTAGTTTCCATTTTCGTCATTTCCTCGTCTCTAAATTGCTCCAAGAAAACATTCTCACCCGAAAAAACCTTCAACTCCTGCACCGACCTTCCGTATTTAAGAGCCCATCTTCACTGGAATTACAATCCATCCCTCAAGAAGGTCTCAATTGCATACAGGTCCAAACAAACTCCAAGAGGGTGGATTGCATGGGGCATCAACCCCACAGGCATAGGCATGGTCGGTTCACAAGCTCTCGTTGCTTTCCGTTACTCAAACGGTAGCATGACTGTTTATCCAACCTCAATCACAAGCTACAACCCCTCTATGCTACCCTCACAAATCAGTTTTCTGGTCTCGAATGTTTCTGCAGAGTATAAAAAAAATGAGATGATAATATACGCTGTTGTGGGCCCGCTTGAAAACGGGCCTGTTGTCAATCACGTGTGGCAGTCCGGAAATTCGGTTTCGAGCGGTATTCCTCAGATTCATTCAACGTCGGATCCGCATCTTCAGTCAATGGGAACAATAGACTTCTCGGTTCAGCCTCGATAAAAGCATACCATTTGATGGAATGTAAAAATTATGGTTTTTGAATAAAAAGTGAAGCAACACACTGATAAATAAGAGCACCGTTTTTTTGTTTTTTGTTTTGTTTTCTCAAGAAGTAATGGCTTATTGTGGGTCATGAATGAGTTACAACGTTGTTGATTAATTGATGGAGTTCCTCACTCTTCGATTCTGTTACCGGTAATTCCAGCGTAATCTGTGCAAAAAATAGGAAATGTACAGGATCAGTGCTGAAATTAGCGTAATCGTTGTTGATTAATAGATGGATATTTTTTGAAGATGATGTGATCACCTCTTTGAAGATCTCGCTGCGAGAGGTCTCCTCGAAGCCCTGGAAAAAAGTGAGAAGTGTTCAGTAAACTTCATATATACGTGTGTGTGTGTGTGTGTGTGTGTGTGTGTGTGTGTGTGTGTGTGTGTGTGTGTGTGTAGAGAGAGAGAGAGAGAGAGAGAGAGAGAGAGGCCAACCAATTTCTTGAAGAGGTTAAGAGAAGCTTCATTTGATTGACCAATCTTTGCACGAAAGATGTGGATGCCGAAATTCTCAACTGCAAAAGCCATCATGAGCAGAATCGACTCTTTTGCAAGTCCTTTGCCACGGCTAAAAAAGAATAATATATTAAAGAAATTAGACTAAAATGTCGAACGGTTATACAAACCACCCATCAATCTAAGTTGATCGACTACAATAACTACTACACTACCCATACTTCAAAAAGAAAAAGGAAAAAAAATACGCGTAGTATGTTTCCAGTTCATCAAATCAATGTTATATATAATGAAGAGTTGAGCATTAGATTGTACTGAACCTCGAGGATGATAACTAAGGAGACTGAATAAAAACTAATTAAGAATTATTATCTAGTAAGTATGGTGTAAATAACTAATATAATATTACTTCCCTAGCAATGCTGTTAATTTTTTTGTTCTCTAGAAAGTAATGATAAAAGTGAATGTCGACATTAGGGGTGGTAAACGAGCCGAGCCGACTCGTGAGCTCGATGAGCCGGTTCGAAAAAAACTCAATCTCAAAAAATATGGACAAACATCAATAAAAAGGTCATATAGTTTAATTGAATGTCAAAAGCAAGATACCTTTTTTGTTCAGCAATCATAATTTCCACCTCAGCCGTTTGAGGATCGTCGAGGTCATTCATAAATATATTTACATCACCAACCATGGCTGAGAAGAAGCGGTAAAAAAGAGTTAAAATAAATACCTTTTTTCTGTTAATTAGGTATCACATCACTGCAAAGCATATCTCTTAAGGAAACAGAACAACTCTTGTTAACGATATTTGAACTCTTGTTAAAGATGAAAATATGCAACAACGAAAAAAAGACATCGTGATCCAGAAGTTCCTTAGCACAGGGAATCTTAAGAAGAAAACACGTGTACGCCATTCAATTGTAACTCACTCAACACATAACACATAGTTCATATCGTCTGTGAAGCACTAAAATGGTGGTTTTACTAAATTAAAAGGCATGTAATAAGTGTATAATGAATGACCTTCAGTATGGGATTGTCCATGAACAAAGTCGCCAACCACCAACTCTTTGTCCAGCACTATAAACGTCTGCTCTGCAAAACAAGACCCAAAAAATCATAATCATCTCACGAAAACTAAATAGCACACACAATCAAATAATCGGGCGTAAACGTTGAATTCTTTATTATTAACTAGTCAGTGAACAAGTGTAATAATGCGTACTAAGGGGGTCTTGAAACCAAGAAATTTGCATCTCGTATTCTTGATCGAGAGTGAGAGGCTCGGAAGCAGTGGCTTGGAGAATGGTGGGGTCTTGCATCCAGATATGGTAATTGGGGACATGTTCTTTCATGTATGGGACTAGTATCACTTTTTCTCCTTCCAGGCTTGCCTTCATTCTTCCTTAATAATAACCCTGCATCAATTTAATAACTATGCAATTTCAGCACCTGATCAATCGAATTTCACCAAACCCTTTTATCACTAATGGTTAGGCCTCGTTTGATAGGCTTGATTTATCACTAATCAAGATTCAAAATTTCATTTGATAATGGATAGAGATTAAATGAGTCAAATATAGAGATGTATAGTTTGAGTGAGGCCTTAGATCAAACAGCTTATGTGCAAAGAGATGGGGAATAGGGGGGAAAAGATCCATTTTTTATCCACAAAGACGATAAAAATCAGAAGGGGAAGCAAGTACGATACGATTTTTTCAATGAATTACATTTGAGTTCTGGTTAATTACCTGTTACAGAGAGAGAGAGAGAGAGAGAGAGAGACGCCGGTGATGCTGTACTGCAGTTGGGCTGTGCTTTGTGTGTTGAAGCAAAGCCAAAGTGGAGCTCTACTTACTATCTGTAGTAGAATTAGGGGTTGAAATGGCAATTTATTTTTTTATTTTTTTCTATTTTAAAATGATATTTTACATTCTATAATCAAAAAATTCCGATTTTATTTTTCATTATTTTTTTTTTTGGATCAAAGTATGCATAATAATGTATAAGATTTTGATTTTCTATCCAATTTTAATTTCCCAAAAAAATTACAAAAAAAAAAAAGAAAAAATCAATACTCTTTAAAAATTATACTTATAATATGAAATATTTTATATTTTCCGTGAGAAATAAAATAATAATTTTCAATTTCCATCTATTCCAAAATCCGAAAAATAAAATCAATTTTATTAGCATAAGCAAGGCCCATTTTGGTTTATTGGGCCTCTAATTTTAGGCATTTGACTGATCTGCTCCAGTTTTAGGCCTCTAAATTTATATAGATTACAATATTACATTATTTATAAACAAATCTTAAAAATCCCAAAACTATTGACAGATTTTTGAAGTTAAGAAATCGTGTTATGTTTACACCAAAAAAAGTGGTTGACTGTAGCATGAAAATGAGATTAATAATATATTATATAAACTTTTAAATATATTTTTGACTTTTAGGCTGTTATAAAATGCTCCGTTAAATTTAAGAAAACATACACACAACAAGAGTTAGAATTGCTCTGAACCCAAATGATTGAGTAAGTATTTTTCTTCACTAGTCAAATTAAATTACATAACATTTATTTTCTTGATTTTGTTGGATTTTTTTTGATACAATATTGCACCAATATTTTTGGTTGCCTTGTTAATTATTTACAAGAAACATGCTTGTTTTGTTCTTATGGTCTTACAATTAATTTCCTAGTTTGTTGAACTTATGCGTTTTTCGATGAATACTTAGAGCTCAAATCTCATTCCATTACTCGAAAATTGTTGCAGCAGTGTCGCAATGGTTGATGATGGTAGTAAGAATAACTCGGACGAGTTCATTGGATTTGTCGAGGTTTGCATACATCAGGCAAGAGAGATACACAACATATGTATATATCAAAACCAGGATGTCTACGCCAAATTCTGCTCCACCGATAATCCCGAGTCGAAAATCTCGACCAAGGTTATCAACCAAGGTGGCAGAAATCCCGTTTTCAACAAAACCTTGAATCTAAGTTTCCGAAAACTCGATTCATCCCTAAGATGCGAGATATGGATGCTGATCGAGTCCGAAACTATCTCGAAGATCAATTCCTTGGATTTACGTCAGTGCCCCTTTCTGATATCGTATCGGACGAGAGTGGGAATTCGCCACGAGAGTTCGACTTGTCCTCGAGCGAAATTATGCATTCTCATGCGGGTTTTGTCGAATTGTCTTTTAACTACTCTGGAATAATATCTCACGAGTCTCATTCTGTATCGGTGGCTGATGTGGCTCATGAGCAAAATGTTTCGTGTGATCTCGATAGGATCGAATTCCCCGATCAAGAAACTGTGAATGAAAACGAAAGAACAGTTTCGGAGCACTTGAGATTCCCGTGTGACGAGCTTGACCCCCAGGTTCAGGGGGGTTCTTGCCCCCTAGAAAATGACGATAATGACCTCAGTTTGAAAGGGGGTTCTTGCCCCCTCGGAAATATAATGGCGATAATAACTTCAGTTCAAAAGGGGGTTTTTGCCCCCTTGAGAATGACGATAATGACCTGAGTTCGAAAGGGGGTTCTTGCCCCCTCAGAAATGGCGATAATAACCTCAGTTCAAAAGGGGGTTATTTCCCCCTTGAGAATGACGATAATAGCCTCCGTTCGGAAGGGGGTTCTTGCCCCCTTTCATGTATTGAGGTTAGTTCACTAGAAACGGGAGATGCGGAAAAACGAGATGATCATAAGGGAGGTGGTGGAGACGGGGGAGAGGGTGTTTCAGGTATTTTGCCTCTTGTCGTTAGCGATGAAACAAAAGAGACGGTGGTGCAAGAAGAGATTGTGGATATGTACATGAAAGGTATGCAGCAATTTACGGATGCTTTGGCGAAAATGAAGCTACCGATGGATACTGGAGATGGATCGAAAGTTGAAACGGATGATGCCAAAATGGAAAATAATCAGGCGGGCCCGAATGGGAAAATACAGGGATCGAAAAGCCCGGATCTTAGTAGCCCGAGGGTGTTTTACGGCAGTGGAGCTTTCTTTTGAACATGATTTCAAGCATATTATAATGCTTGTGCTTTTTCACATCTTTTGATCTTTATTTACTTTTTTGCTTTATGTTAAATTTGAATTAAACAGAATATTACGTAATTTGATTTCAGATAAAATAAAAAACCACATTCATGTAATTTCACTTCACTCCTCCACCAATCCCATTGATAATTATTAATATAATTGAAAAATACATAAGATAAATATATGGGTCGAGTATATAACTAAATAAATAAATAAATAGATAAAATTAACAAATGGAGCAAAAATTGCATTTTTAGGAATGAAAAGAGTAAAAAATGGTAAAAAAAATCCAATCTTGATGTTGGAATCAACAAATCGCATTCAAAAGAGTGTTGGATGGCGGTTAGCAATTAGGATCAGTGCTCTGTACTCTACTTTTTCCCTCCAAAAAAATTCAATCTTTTCACACAAGATTCAATTTTTAATTTTCCTTTTTTTATTTTCGGAATTCAAAATAAAAAAGCACTATAAATTCAAGTACAATCCATTTCGTCCCCACTCAACCACTCCTCCACCAATCCCTACTCAAGTTCAACCCCACACCAATCCCCACTAATCATGTCTCCTCCCTCTCCCCGCCGCTCCGGCGAGATCCACGTCATCGTCGGACCCATGTTCGCCGGCAAGACCACCGCCCTCCTCCGCCGTGTTATCTCCGAATCCGACTCCGGCAGGTCTTTCTCCATCCCCAATCTCTTTTAATTTTGACGAAATTAGTAGGAAGATTATAAATCAAAATAAAATGAAAAGGGTTTTTTATTTTTGAATTGTAGGAAAGTGGTGATGATAAAATCGAGCAAGGATAATCGATACGCAACGGATGCAGTGGTGACGCATGATGGAACAAAGTTCCCTTGCTGGGCTTTGCCAGATCTCTTGTCTTTTAAGCACAACTGTGGTGCCGAAGCATATTCCAAAGTAATTCATCATATTCCAATTATACCCTTGTGTGTCTTTTCATTTTCTTTGTTACTTCGTTGCTCAATGATTTGTTATGCATTCATTCTGTCAAGTGTTAGTTAGTGTGAAATTGTGGACTGGTTGTCAAGAAAACTGTTGATATTGCCTTGAATTGGGAATCAAGAAAGCCGTCTCTAACGTCGTTTGGATCGATCGATTCACTTGACAATGAAATTCAAGTCGTTAGCTATCAGTTTGAACTGTTTTTTTAGTTACTGTGGTAGATTTGAATCTACTTTCTTGAATAAAAAGTTGTTTCTGTTTTATAGTTTTTTACGTGTTCGACTGAGTTATATTGAGTGCTTTTTTTTTTACTCCGGGATCAATTGAAAAGGAAAGGGGCAAAAAAGACTTATAACTTTGTCAAGTTTCGATAAAATCGAGTAAAAGGTTTTTCAAAGCAGAGAAATTTCACAGCTGTGGTGGTGTAGACTGAATACATATAAGTGTTTGATATTTTCTGTAATAAATCCACTGATTTTTATTACAACTCTGTGCAGTTGGATGTGATTGGTATTGACGAAGCTCAATTCTTCGGGGACCTCTACGATTTCTGCTGTGAGGCAGCCGATCTCGACGGTAAAACAGTAGTAGTTGCTGGCCTCGACGGTGATTACTTAAGGTCAGATTTTGAGAAGTTTGTTTGTATTCTTGAAAAAGGACAAGTCTTTTCACGTACGTACGTAGTTATCTATCTATCGTTTGAAATAGTGAACATTGTATTTACGAAAAAATAAAAAAACGAACAGGAGGAGTTTCGGATCGGTGGTGAGTGTGATTCCACTTGCGGACACTGTAACGAAATTGACAGCACGGTGTGAAGTATGTGGCAAAAGGGCTTTGTTCACTCTGAGGAAGACCGACCAGACACAAACGGAGCTTATTGGCGGTGCTGATGTGTACATGCCTGTTTGCCGGCAGCACTATACGAACGGACAAGGTGGAACTGCTTCTGAAACATCTGCTGCTGCTGTTTAGAATGTTCTATTTCATTGTCTTGATTCTCTTCTCTTCTGTTTTCTTTTTTGTATAGTTTTAGTTTTATTATGTTTTGGAATGAGTTTAAGATGATTAGTGTTTGATGAACTATTGTTAATCAAGGCTTTATGATTATTGGTTAACTGTTAAACAAAATTCAATATGCATTTAGTATTAATTAATTAGCAGCTGTATACAATGGGATTAAGCAGTCTCTGTAAAAAAGAATTGAAATATGAACAGAGAAACATCCAACAAAATGTAATCATTTATCACAAGGTGACAAAATTATAATCATAATATATATACCAAATACCAAATGATGTAAACCATGATTATTATAATCTTAATCGGTTAATTATATAAATTAATCCACCATCATCATAATCAAAAGAGGCCGGCCATGACACTGTATATATTTATAATATCTATCTGTCATTATATTAAATATTTTTTTCTTATTGACAAAAGAAACAAGAGTCTATGTAAGAGACAAATATATATTTTAATATTCATATATTTTATATTATATATATATATATATATATATATATATATATATATATATATATATATATATATAGTTTGTAAGGTGTGAGTGACTGAGGAAACATCTGAAAGAAAGACAAGTATGGAGCAGATAGTGCACAAGAACTTGAAGGTCAACGGCATCAACATGCACGTGGCGGAGCTTGGTCAAGGCCCGGCGGCGGTGCTCTTCCTCCACGGCTTCCCTGAGCTCTGGTACTCGTGGCGGCACCAGATGGTCCACCTCTCCGGCAAGGGTTACCGCACTATCGCACCAGATCTCCGTGGCTACGGCGACACCGATGCTCCGCCTAGCCCCACCAGCTACACGGTGCTCCACATCGTCGGAGACCTGGTGGCGCTGCTCGACGCTCTGGGACTGGATCAGGTTTTCCTGGTGGGCCACGACTGGGGCGCCATCGTTGCCTGGTGGTTCTGTTTACTCAGGCCGGATCGAATCAAAGCTCTGGTGAACACAAGTGTGGCTTTTCAGCCAAGAAATCCTTTCGTTAAAACCATTCAGGGTTACAGAGATGTTCTTGGTGATGGCTTCTACATGTGCAGATTCCAGGTTTCTTTTTTTTTATCCAAAAAAAAATTAAAGAAAGAAAAACCCATAGATCTTGGGGAGAAAAAAAGAGAATCTTGATGTAGAAATAGTACTATTGACACTTGTAGATAAGGTTGCTGTTTATGTTGGACATTCATAAAATATTGTATATATGATTTTCATCCCTCAAGTTTGCACCGATTTCACATTTGATCCCTCATGTTCCAGTAATTTAACACTTTTGGTCATCTCCGTCGTCAATTTATTGTTACTCCGTTAGTTAAGGCAGTGACTTGATTCCGTTAGCTTTAACGGGAAATTAAAGAAAATGACTAAAAGTGTTGAATTTTTGAAATATGAGGGACCAAATGTGTGTTTTGTGAACATGGGACCATTTGTGAAATCGGTGCAAACTGTACTTTTCCCGATTTTCCCTTCTTTTTTTAAATTATTAATTTTTTTTTTTTTTGGGATAGGAAGCAGGAAAGGCAGAAGAAGCATTTGCAAGTACAGATACAGCATCTGTAATAAGAAGATTTCTGTCGGGACGTGATCCAAAACCACCGTGCATTCCCACTGAACTAAGTCTAGACATTCTTTTCAAAGCTCCTCCACCACCACTTCCCTCTTGGCTCCTCCCTGAAGATGTTGATTACTACGCCACTAAATTCGACAAATCCGGCTTCACCGGCGGTCTAAACTACTATCGAGCCATGGATTTGTAACTCATTTCATTTAATTACATATATCATTTATGTATACATACATACATTGTAAGTTTTGATGAAGTAGTTAAGTTTGTTTTGTTTGCATATAGGAGTTGGGAGCTGACAGGGCCTTGGACAAAATCCGTAATAAAAGTGCCGGTCAAGTTCTTGATCGGTGACATGGATGTAACTTACCATTTTCCGGGTGTGAAGGAATACATACAAAGTGGTGGCCTCAAGAAATATGTTCCCCTTTTAGAAGAAGTTGTGGTTATCGAAGGTGTTGGCCACTTTCTCAACCAAGAAATCCCCGACCTAGTCAGCCAACACATCCTCGACTTCATCTCCAAATTCTGATATCATTCGTATTTCGTACCACTGATCATTGTTATTTGTCTTGTCTGAAAAATCAAGAGAATAATCCATTATTCCAAATAAATTTCTATTACCACATATGTGGGATATATAGATGATGATTTTACAACTTGTTCTTGTAAGTACAAATAATCACGAAATAATATATATTTGAGTTAAACGTCGTTTTCGTCTGTGTTGTTGTTGATGACATCAGCGAGAAATGGGTCGTTGAGGAGATCGGAGGCCGAGGGTCTCGATCTGGGCTGGCCGACGCACTTTTCGATGAAGGATTTGAGGTCGGGGTGTGTGACTTTGTCCATGGCACGTGGCATCACCCCACTGGTCACCTTCTTGTAAATCTTGACGAGGCTGTCACATTCGGTGTAGGGTATCTCGCAAGTGGCCATTTCAAGTAAGCACATACCGAAAGAGTATATGTCGACCAGTTCTGTGTAGTTCTCCTCGTAGAGCTCCGGGGCCATGTACTCGGGTGTTCCTAATAATGAGTGGGCCGCGTGGTTCTTTCCGACCATTGTGGCCAATCCCAAATCCCCGATCTTCACCTACAAACGGGACAAAATAAAATTAGGATCATTATGTATTTTCTAATTCAACTTGAATCATCTAGATTAGATGTCGCATGAGAGAGTTATGCATGAATGAATGAACAATGCGTTAATCAACAATAAGTTTACTTCAATCCCCTAAGAAAAGCCCTTTTATACGCATGAATGAACATAAACGAAACATCAACCAGAAGACCAAAAAAGAAAAGCAACTAAATTTTTTACCTTGCCAATATTGCCATTGATGAAAATATTACTACAATTCAAATCTCGATGAATAACGCAAGGCTCGTGAGTATGTAGATACTCCAATCCCCTAAGAATCTGCACACCCCATTTTTTCAGCGCCTGAATCGAAACGTGCCGATGCCTTTTCCGGTAGTCCCTCAAGTTTCCGGAAGCACAAGCCTCCGTAATAAAATTGAAAGTATTATGCTCCACATCTTTCCAGAAATGGTACATAACAATAATGTTTTCATTATCAAGAGTCTTGAGAAGCTCGATCTCGGATCGGAGCCTAATGATGACCGTTGGATCGCTGCTGAAGTTTCTGAGGCGGACTTGGTTCCATGCCACGTCAGTGCCTTCCCGCTGATCGAATGCACGGTACACTTTCTTGACGGCCCCACTTCCTAAGAGGGAGGAGTAACGCCCGAATCGGCCCGTGGGGTCCATCTCCACAAAGGGTTCCGATTCTTGATCGTCGGATTCGTCGTTTGTTGTGCTGTTTGATGGAGGCATTTTGATTGTGGGTGCGAAAATTGGCTAAAGAGGGGAAGGGAATTGATTATTATACCTGATTAAGATTGAGAAAAAAGGGCAATGGAAATCAGAACACTTGAAATTTTGTGAGGAATTTATAACATATTTCAAAGTAGCAATCTTTTTATTGAAAAACCAAGAATGGAATAACTGATTCACACACACACACACACACACAAAAAAAAATCCTAGAGAAAAATAGAGGAACTAAAGAAAGAAAACTCCAACCTGCAAGATCCCTTTTTTATACAAGGTTGTGATGCTTAAACACCACCATGAGAACATTCATTAAACAAAGAACAACCTTAACAAAGTATGTATGCTGTAATAAACCTATAAACAATAAAACCAAGATATTGTAATGGAAATAATTTACCTGCAATTCTTCAAGAAAAGGGAAAAGGGAAGAAAGCTAAGACGATATTGAACAAATGAGTTGAAATCAAAGCATGAAATGAAAGAAAGGGATACTTTGATATTCAGCTACCTATATATACAAGTTCATACAGTGGGTGGTTTTGTAATTTGATTTGATAAGGATTTGAACAAAGTTGTGTCCTTTACGATTTATTAGGTTTGGCATATTCATAATGACAGTGTAACGCCATTAAGTAAAGTCAAACACATAAGATTATAAGAATATGCTTTTACAAATTACTATTATCGTTGACATTCAATTGATTAATGCAGAATCACATGTTCTTTAGTGAAATTAAATTACAAAGTCAATATATTACAAATACCTCTTTCATTTTGCTTTTGATGTATGAAATCCTAATCGATTTGGTTGAAAAGATAGAGGGTGTTTAAAAACTTAAGTTTGAACTTATCTTAATTTGTTTAAGAAAAAATAAAAACTTTGCCATAAATGGGTTTTTTTTAATGTGCAACTGTTGATTGCAGCGTGTGAATTCATTGATGAACAAACTCAAAAGATCCAACATTTGCTGTCATAATGAATGATGTAGGAAACCCAACTAAAAAGGCATCACGGATCCCCATGCACAATCACACACTTGTTTTGTACAAATCCCTTTTCAATAACAGACTGTAATTTTGAGTGGGCTCAACTGCAATCCATGTGAAAACATGTTAGCTTGGAGTCATCTCTAAAACATGTCGATACACTTTTTCAAAGCACCACCTGTTTCTGTGTCAATGCAGCAATCTAACGGACAAACTAAACAACGGAATCGCAAGGGATAGGCGTTTACTAGCAAAATCCAGCAATGCATAGATGAATTTTCGACACCAATAAAGCAACAAATCTGTATGGGAGGAAGAATATAAACGAAACCATAAAAAAATCGTCGTCTTCATAAATAATAATAATACAACAATCTTGTCATTCTTTTGCATCCAACTCCAATTCATGAAAAGTAAGTCTTAGTTGCACAACTTCCATCCTTCAAGAAGTATATGACCAGAAATACATCCACTCAAAGATGAATAAGAAACAGAAAACAAACACACAAGTAAACACCCAAACATTAGACTATATCATTATTTCAACACCCAAATGTTCGAGAAAACATACTGCTTTACATTCCACATACCATCTCCGATACAACAGCACGAAGAGGTAATTCATCTCAGATTACCAGTTTACCAAGGTGGATTAGAGCCCTCTCTCACAGAGGGAGATCTTGAACCCATGCTATCTCTCCCCAACCTAGATGTACTCCTCGTACTTTTAGGAGTACTTATTCCAGGGCTCGAACTACGATAACTTGCCCTCAAAGACTCATCAATAGACTGCGACGACTTAGCAATCGCACTCCTCATAAACTTCTGTGCAGCACTTGAAAGAACCCGCGCACTTGGGCTAGCACTCCCTCCTCTAACCGGTGAAGGCAATGGTGGTTTCTGAAACATCTTAGACCTCTCTCTGATCTTCTTTGCAGCTTCTCTAGACAAAGAATGCGCCTTTACATCCCTTGTAGGCGGCATAGGGATTTTAAACTGCGGCCCATTACCACTACCGCCAATATCAATCGGTGTGTCCTCTGGCTCTAGCCTCAAAGGGGTCCCTTCGATTTCTCCCCATGTTATAAACGGTGAGTCATCCACCCCTGGAGCAGGAGAAGGTGTTTTCACAAAATTATATCCATTATCCGCCTTCTTCTCAGACTCGACATAGAATCTATTAGGCGTCTTCTTCATGTCTTCAAGATCATACTTCTTCACCTTATCACCATCCCTATTCGATATTGGATTCGGAGTAGAACCAACAACAGGCATGTAAAGCACTGCAAGATTATCGTCGTCGTTGTTCGATGTAGTAACACCCATTGCTTTTGCATTGAAACGTGTATTCGATTTGAGGATCTCCTTCGTCATTCCTTTGAGCCTCAGGTTTGTTTCTTCCTCAGTCAACGGCATCTCCCCTCTATCAGCTGGATGATACATCAATAAGTTCTTTGGCGTGTATTTCCACCCTTCCAAAGTACTCACTGGCTGATTCGATGTGCCATAGCCGTCTGTAGAGCTGATCTCTCGTTTACTCCCATTCTCGATCAAATTATCCCCTTCGGTTTCTCCACACTCCAACAAATAACTATACTTTTCCTTCTTCTTCCTATTCACTTTCTCCAGAATCTTCGAGAAGCTTTCGTTGTCCTCGCTCGTGTACTTCCTGAAAAACTCATCAAGTGGCACTGAAACATCGACTTCTTCTTCTCCATCACCACTACCACCAACACCGACGGATTCATCATTCAAAATATGATCTTTATTCAGATTATGGTGGGAGGGGGTAACAGAGGTAGTTCGGAAAAAAGACGAACGAGGGGTTGCAGTGGTGGATCGGATCGAAGCATCAGCCGCGGCGGAGTCGCCGGCTTTCCTCAGGCGGCGGCGTTCAATGATTTTGAGTTGGGCATCGCGGATGAGAACCGGGTCGTGGGTGCGGACGGCCTGCAGCCAGTCAAGGCGATCGCGAAGCTTGGGGATGTCGGGGAAGTAGTCTCGCTCGATGATCTTCTCGATGGCGGCGACGTAAGAATCCTCGTCCAGAACGGTGGGGCTGCGGCGGCGCTTTCGGGTGTCGGAATTGGGGTTAGGGTTTGAATCGGAGGAGACGGAAGGGGCGGGGGAAGGAGTAGAGAGGTGGCGGGGGGAGTGGCCTGGGGATAACAACATGATTGATTGATTCTGAGAGAGGAGAAATTGAGATGCAGACAGAGATTTGAAGAACTAGGGTTTGGAATTTGGGGCAATTGGATTTGAATTCTGTGTTTTGAGGTTCGTTTGAGTCGACTTATGACGGTGGGGTTGAAAAGGGAGTATTTTATATTTTGCACCTTTGAAATAGATGTAATTCCTAAAACGCACCCTTAAATTATAAAACTAGCATAATGCACCCTAATTCTATAATTGCTGGATTTAGCATATATATATTATTTATTTACATGATGTTAATATTTTTAAATTATTCAACTCGCCACCTACCCTATTGATTTGGCTCTATTATGTCGGATGGACTAATGAGCTCGTTATGTGGGAGAGTAGAGACATTGTTTTAGCGAGCTTGGTACTAAGAATTTTGTTCGAACGAGCTTCTAAAGAAACATTGTATTTCACAACGTTATTCAGTTGGCAAGCCCGATAAATCTGTTGAGGTCCATACTTTTGTGTTCATAATATTTAATTAATAAGCCCAGAAACAACTGTATATTTTGATTTTAATTTTAAAACAAAAACTTGAAGCCCAAATAGAAGATGACAATTGAGAAGTGGTTAGTGGATTAGGGTTGGCTATACTTGAAGCAATAACACAGAGCTTATCAATAATCCAACAACGGCTATAAATCAAAAAGCCCATCTACAAATTCTCTATAAATAAATACCCTTTCTCATACCCCAATTACAAACAACCACCCACAATTAGGGTTCTTCACAAATCAAATCTACAGCCGGCACTCAGAAAAACAAACAAACACATGTATTTTAATTTCTTAGATCTGTTGTTGGTATTATTTCATACGCACGCGGCGATTGATTCACATGAAAAATTGAGGCGAGCTAAATCTGTGTTCGTATGACTCAATTAGTGAATTAAAAAAAAATCGCCGCAAGAAAAAGCCTCTGTGATATTTCCGAAGGTAATAATTTGGTGGGGGCGTCCTCATATCCTATCGCCTTGGGTAGCGGATTTCTGCTATTATCTCTTGGGATTGGCCATGAGTAGTAAGACATTTCTTTCTTCCTTCTTCTTCTTCCTTAATTTTTTTTAATTAAATTAATTAATTAACTAATTAATTGTTTAAATGATTTTGGCGGCCTGTGATGAGAAACACATATAAAACACACACACCATCTTTCGGGACTTAATGGCCCTCCTTAGAGGGCCTTGCTGATTTTATTCTGCAATTCTGAGGCTACCTTTTTTTTTTCTAAATTTAAAAAAGAAAATAAAAATTGAAAAAAAATTGTGCTTAATGACGGTCCAGTACTGCTGAGATTAATGAGCAGTACTTAACATACTCTTAAGCTAAAGTAATTAGTCACTTTTTGTCTTTCAAGTCTCTTTCTTCTTTATCTAAGTTTGAGACTATCCACGCTGTGAAACATCTTTACTTTTTTCATTTATCATTTTCTTTTTTTTTTTGTTTTTTCGACCATTTTTATTTTCTACCATGCTTTTTGATTAAATATGTGACACGTCTTTAATAAAATGGATTGGAAATTTCAATTCCTCATTAATTCTATTTATAATTATTTTTTAATCCAGTGTTGAATTTACCTTAATCTTGTTTGCAAATTCGTTCACGTATAAGCTGCTAGATTAAGGTCTCATTTATAATATTAATAGTTTAACTAGTATATTTTTCAGACGGCACGTTTATTTTATTAAATAAAATTAATTATATATAATACTGGTAATTAACAAATTCAATAGAAATCTTGTAAATTCAATTCTACTTCAGTGACATAATTTCTCAATTATTTTTTAATTGGTAAAAGTTACAAATCGAAATGAATATATAAATACCTTGAATGCTAGATGAGATAATGGGTAATACCTTTACTTTGTTATGTCATAATTGTGTAACTTAACAAAGTGTAAACTTCAATTGTATAAAAAATATTACTTTGTTATGTCATAATTTTGAAATTTAACTATTTTGGAATATAAATGTAATCTTCTATTAGCAAAGACTACTATTTCTATAAAGTGTAAACTTTAATTGGCAAAAATTTCACTTTCAAAATATTAAGTTTAACAAATTGTATCTTTCACTTGCGACTCGCCCGTTGTGCGGATTTTTTTGTTCGATTTACAATTATAAATAATCTATATTATATGGTTCCATTATGTAGTTTCTCAAATTGCAAAATAAAGAAAAAAAAATGAGAATATTTTTTTTTAATCGAGAACGGATTGCTAATGTCTTCCACTTATTGAATAGGGTTCTATGCTCGGTCCGTGACCCCTGGATGCCGAAGGCGCCCTTGGGGTTATCTCGTAGTTCCTATGGGGTGGAGATGATGGGTCGGTCCATTGATTTTCCTTCCCTTTTTTTTGCCACATTTCGCTCAAAGGGTTGAAGGGAGATAGTGCATCAAGTTGTTCGCAAGGGCCAACTTGATCCTCTTCCCTCAGGGACCCTGGGAGAGCCACCGACTCCAACTATTGTCCATGTATGATCCATACTAGATTTGACCAATTGCCCATCCTACCTCCTCCTTTGTCTTAGTAGAGTCTTTTAGTGGCATGTTTGGTCCTCTTTCCCGTTACTTAGACAAAAGGACCCGTAAGAGCAACTGTAATCCAAAAAATTCAAAATTGAATTATCAAATATTCAATTGAAATTTGAGATAACAATTTAATATTGATTAAAATTTATCTATTCCAACCATGATTATTAAATTAATTATCAATTGGAAGTTTGTGGGTGATTTTATTTTTAATTGTCACATCTCAATTTATGATTTGATGTTTATATGATTATATTTTTGATAATCAACTTTCAGCATGTAAATTTACACCACAAGATATGATAAATCAAAATAGAGCTCTCTTTTAATAATCCATTGGAGTTACTCTAATAATATATTACATGTTTCCATCAAAAAAAAAATATATTACATGTTTACTTTCAAATAAGGATGAAAATTTGACTTGCACCGTTGAGTACCCGCTCCTGCCCCGAAAATCGACCCGAAAAAATATGGTGCGGGCATGGGGATTAATGTAAAATTTTAAATTGGTTACAGACTCGTACTTATTTTGCATTTTACTTTAATATATATTTATCTAAATTTTTTGAGGATTTTAACGGGACGGGTACCCGCATAATGTTTACGCGGACAGGAATAGATAGGGATTCCTGACAAAAAATTTTACAGGAATGAAAATGGGGATTTTGAAACATGGCAGGGACGGAGATTGCAAAAGCCGCCTTATTACCATCCCTACTTCCAAATCTTGCTTTTGTGTGATAAGTCAACCAAAATGCGTAACCATAACAAACAAATCATGTTCAAGGGTAAGAAAAATGTTGACAAAGAAGATCGGACTAAAATTGTTATACAACACACTCTCGTTATTGCACCAATTAAAATATATTGTAACTATTGGTCTATGTTCTCAAAATATTTCATTTTCTGTAACTTGTCATTAGTTATCGGAATATTAACACAAGAAAATAAATAAAAAATAAATCAGTAAAAGCTACATCTCATCGCAGCTTTCATTCGAACGAAAAGAGTGCGATAAATGCATTATTATCACATGATATATATTACTTAATAATTATTATGTTCTTAATAAGTTACAAATGTATGATTATTTAGTAAAAGGGTAAATATACCTTCTTAAAAAAAATATATATACATGTCTGTGAAATTTTACACTCGTAAAATACTCATGTGATTTTAAATCGTAAATCTATATAAATAAATGAATTGTATAAAACTACAAGGTCTATTTCACTTTTATAAAATCGTGAAACTCAATATTGATTATCTTAGATGGAAAAGAAAAAAAAAATACATACAAAAAAGTTTGTATGTATATGTATATGTATATGTAGGAGTTAAAGAGTTTGGTCCAACTCGCATTCGCAGGTAATAGGTGTGCTCCTATTCCTATTTACTTGGTCCAAGTCAATTTCTTCTCCCACTTCTTCATATTTATACATACCCAGAACCTCTTTCCATCGGCGGCACTCCTCCTCCGCTCTCCGCCGTCATCACCGCCGCCGCCGCCTCGAAGATGCCAAACGCTTAATTAATTAGGTGATTTATCTTTTCTTCCTTTTCTATCTCTCTTTTCAGTTTTGTTTTTTTCTGAATTGGAGCCCTCAATTCCTCGGCCGAAACGATTTCTATTTTGTTCTTGTTACCTGCTTTAAATTAATTATTATTTCCTCCATTTTTCTTACTATTCCTTCCTTTTTAATTACTGTGTTTTAATTTCTTCAAACTGTGTTCATTTCTCATTTCCAATTATTTGCATTTTCGACTACATATGTGAGTAGTTATCTCAATTTTGGCTATTGACTTTGTTTATGCCCTTTTCCTTGTTCACTGAGGCTGAGTTTATATTGAACTGAACTTTGTTGAGTGATTTTTATATCACCAAAATTCAGGGAGGCTATATAAATAAATAAATAAATAAATAAAAGGTGAAAAAAAGGAGAAAGAATTGTTGAGTGATGATATTCGGGTAGGGAAAACCGCAATTGAGTTCTGGTATATGTAGATTGTGTGTTTTGTTAACTGTTCTAGGTCAAATTTAGTAGTTGTGTGTGCTCTAATTACTCTTTACTCATATAGCTGTAGTATTATTTGGGATTCGGATTTTATTAGGAAATGTTATGCTATGTGTACAACCTATGGTAATGGGGATTATCATACGTTTTGCTCTTTATTTGGTCGTGTTCTAGATTTAGAAGGTATGCTTTTGCTAAACCATTTGTCGTATTCTTTTAGTGTTTTATCTTCTTGTGTTTGGGAAATAAATTGTTACGACAACCAACATTAAGACAGCTGGTAGCTAATACAATTTGGAATTCTAAAACCTCAACTATGTTGACAAGCGATGATCCTCACACACACAAACACACACATTTATATCCGCATATGTTGAAGATGGATATTTATAATGCGTTTTCTCGTTTCTGGGCTGTTGGATACATATATGTTTTTCTTGTCCTTCAAAGAATTTTTTATTAACCTGTCTCTCACTTTTGAGTGATGTTCAACTCTTTGATACTTATATTTCTGTTTACTCAAGTTATTACCATGCCTCTGTTCTTCCTTGGATATCAAGTTGCTTCTGCTTCATCGTTTTTAACAAGGTCCAGAGATTATTATGATGCTTTATGAAGAATTGACTATGCCCATTGTTACTGTTTTGACTGATACAATGGAATACATGTTGGTTTGCAGTTTCCTAAAACAATTGCAGCAGAAAATAGGATTTTTTACGAGGATTCATCAGCTGAACTGCTGAAGAAAAACATTCACTATATAGTGGCATGCAGCAAAACATCAACTTGCAGTTAACGAAGAAGAAAACTGAGCAAAAGAATGCCTGAGAAAGAACCAAGTAATATATCACCGAAACAGAATCCCGACACTGGTAACAATGCATCACAAGAATCACATGAAGACAAGTCTTGTGTTTTGGTGCAGACAGAAACCTCTGATTCTAGAAACAATGTTTCACAATCCCATGAAGAAGAAGAAAGAACTTTGTCTAGTAAGAACGAAAACGATTCCGATATGCTGCTGCAAGAACCAAGTTCAAATCCCGTAGTCCTTTCACAAGAAATGAATCCAGCACTAGCCTCTCATCTTCCGATCGATGATAACCTTTGGAAAAGTGCAGCAGATTAGGACTTGGACATTGTAGTTCATACGTCAGAGTCTGACAAAGGATAATGGTCTCTAGTGTATCCCAAGATTTCCCTAAACCACAAAAATGG